TGCTATTCTTCCAGCACATAACCATCAATTCTTACCACAGGACTCAACTGATGTGCTACAGAAAAGGCCTGTTTGTAGCACAAATTAAGTTTCACACATTAATTTTTCCACCAGTCACAAACTAGCTGTTGAGAAAAAGAAATTTTTGCAACCTAGCCCTAGAAATTCATACATTAACCAAAAATCTCCTCCTTCACAACAGAGCTTCTTAAAAGGCTCTGTACCACACCCAACCCCCAATGCTGCAGTGAAATGCAGATGTTTGTATTTTGGAATACTCTTCACTTCGTCCATGAGGGATGTGGAAGAGAAGAAGAGTAGGAAGAGCCAGGACAGTGGAATTCCTGTAAATATATTCTCTTATCAGGAGATCTATTTAAAGCATTCCAATAAGAGTTCTATCAACACCTATAGGCAAGACCGAGACACTGCAGAAGTACCCAGCCCACCAACTAAAAAAATAACAGCAGGGTTATAAGCCCTGAGTATCTGCAGTTGCTCATCCCATAAAAGCAGAAAGCAAGCCCAAAAAAAGCCAGTCTGCTGCAGGAGGGGAGTTACAGCCCCTGCAACGGGAGGGCCTCGTTCACAGGTAACGTAAGCGCCAGAGATCACCAACCTGGTTGGGTGTGTGGATCACGTCAAACTCCTTAACCAACTGGAAGGAAACAAACAAAGTCAGGATCAAATCAGCTGCAGACCTCCGAGTTTTTAATTACTTTATGACACCAAATCAGTGAAACAACTCAGAGCAAACACCACCGCCATTTAGTATCAATTCCTTAGAATTTTCTTATATTGATATGAGGAAATAAGCCCAAAAGTTGATGTGATCCAGGGTAAAAAAGTCAGTGTCCCACAAGGGACAAAAATGAGCAAGTCTATGTGAAGAAAGCCACACCACACAGACTGAGCTAATTTTCCAGTGAGTGACAATCCACTTAGATGTATTTAAGCCAAATAAATGATCCATATTCAATCAAATCTTGACTGTAGCTATACTACAGTACTTCAGCTTTGTGTGTTCTCTCCCCAACCTCCATTCAGTACTTAGTCCTGAGTATTTCCCTAGGACTGGAGAAGGAAAAAAAGTACTGCAGATTAGAAAAAAAACAAACAGTAAGAGTCCCATTTCCACATGAAAATTCTAAATTCCTCAAATTCAAGATATAACACGCAGCTGTAAAACCAGTCTTTCACCCCCAACAGGTCACAACGCAGATACACCATCCTGACTGGGGCTGAAAATAACAGCTCTAACGCCTGCGGTTCTGCTCGGGCACAGACAGAAGCGTCTCACGGTACATTCAGATCCATACTGAAGAGTCAGTTTTTGGGTTTGGATACAAAAATTGACACTTTTTTTTGATCCAATCTACTCCCCACCCTTTTTTTTTTTTTTAAGAGCACTGTTTAATAACACCACTCCTAAAACATTCATCCTTTTGTCCTAACAGTAACCTAGTTAAAGTGAACTTGAAAGAACAGACGCTTTATTTGGTTTTTAAATGTAGTGTTTGTTGTCAGAGCAATTCCCCCAGGAATAAGGAAGACACCTAAAACTATCTGTATCAAGTCCTAATAACAACTGAAACTAAACTCCTTTGTGGATGAAAGCTGCAGGCTACTCACCTTGTCAGTTCTGCCTCCGCGGCTGGCCCTGCCACCACGCCCTCGGCCACCTCGTCCCCCTCTGCCACCACGTCCAGGGCGGCCGAGGTCTCCAAAGTTGATCTCCAGCTGGGATGTGATATCATTTGCTGGCTTGCGGAAGTGATGATCCATTACCGAGTCCTCAGCATGAGCCTGAAATGAGCATTTCTTCATAAGAAACATCACCACAGAACCTTTTCATCTGTAGTTGTGCTCTTACCACCACAGCACGCATGATCACCTCCAAACGCGCTCCCAAATTGATGATTGATTACCTTGATCGATTCAAGTTGAAAGACTGGATGCAGGAATTGTTAGGAATCAAGTTACACGCTTGTGCAGACAACAAAACCACATACAAGTAATCAAATAAGTGCTCGAGCAAACGAAGGTATTTTACATTTCCAAGATAATTCAGGGAAGCTCTGGAGTTCCTTCAGAGGAACATGTTTAGGCTCATCCGAGACCAAACCGACTACCACCGAGCCAGTACAGAACCTCATCTTCCAGCGTTTCTCTTCCCACTTTGTATCCTGAGAAATCTTCGGGTTCTAGCAATTCATTTCATTCTTTTTGAATACTTCCTTGGTAACCCATTTTTATTTGGCTCAATGAGTACTTTACACATTCTCATTTGCTTAGCCCTGAATAAATATTTAAAACAAGGGAGATGGTAAGAATCCCTTATCAGTTTCGTTAGTCATAACAAAGAGCAAACCAGGCATCACCAGTTCAAACACACCGTAACCGAGGTCGCTAAAACATGAATGCTGGAGCAGAGAACCAGTCTCACCAATTACACTGGAAAATACAACTCTCACCACCTTTGCCATGCTACAACATTCTCCCACCGCTGCTTGGTTCCCAGTGAGAAACCTGAGCTTCGACAAGCAAGCCATGCACTGAAGAGTTACGTCTAACACCATAACTGCTGCTATTCAGCACACCTGAGTATTTTAAATTATTACACACCAAACACGAAAAAAAACCCCAAGTGTTTTTAAACTATTTTTCCTATTTTGTATAACTAATTTTTCCATGTGGTGAGTAAAGTGTTGGCCCCTATGATGATACACAAAATGTAAAACTGACCACGCTGGATCAGACCAAGGGTTTACTCTGCTGAACACAAGGCCAAAGCACCAGGTTTCAGAAACCCGACAACATACAGTGCTTTCCTTTCCTCTAACCCCCTAACTTCTGGCACAGCAACGATCAGTTTGCTTGTTTTTTCCTACAGAAGCGCCACGCGCAACCTGGAGCCTCCTGACTCCAACTCCTCCTCTTGCAGCGTACTTACACAATATGCTGACCTCCAAAGGTGACACGTTGTGCAATTAAGCTCTATACCCTTTAATTACTGCTTGGGGATGCTTCCTGAAGCAGTCCATGGATACGCAGAAGTCTGTAGTCGAAAGGCCGAAAGCTGCTTTGAGGGATTCCTTGAGTCAGTCACAAGCACCACAATGTACAGAGCCCTAAAGAGCCTTCTCCCTCACCAACCTAATTAACCCCTTCTGTGCCCAGCTCTACATTTGGCCTCCACAACACCCTGCAGTGGAGGGCACTGCAATTTAATTAGGCACAATGAGAAATACCCTTCCACGCTGCTTTATCTCAAACTGGGATGTATTCCGCGTAACAACTGGTCCCCATCCCACTCCTGATTTTACAGGTTTGAACTGTACACCCTTCCCTCAGAGTTCTCTTTTCCAAACTTAGGAAATCAGCCTAAGCAGTTATTTTTCAGAGAGAAGTCACTCCACACCTCAGCCTGACATGGCACTACACAAACGTAAGTACACCAACCATCTGTACAACAGTACACAATACCTTTTGTTATGGCTTTGATTCTTACCACTTAGGATTTTTTTCTACAGTTTTGACCACTGCAGGGTACCGAGATTCTATTTTCGACTTATTGGTAGCCATATGACATTCTCTTTGCAAGAGGTAGTACCAGTGGATTTGTAAAACAATCCTGTGCATTTCCTAACCTACATTTATTGCTTAAAAAAGAAATCCTACAGTCCACCAAAAACGTTGTATTTTCACAACTAAACTTTGGTTTAACCATTAAACCAACAAACAACAAATTCTAGATGTAACCCAATGATTTCTTTATCCAAAGTAACTCAAGCTAATTTAAAACACCAATATAAGACTTGGCATGTTCTCCTCATCCTCTTCTGTCACTCAGGTGACAACAGACAGGCACTGTGCAAATTGTTTATTCTGAATCATCCTTGGAAGCATTTCATTTGTATATATTGGCAACTCTCAGCAGTACACTGATCTAATAACCGACAGCTTCTTGAAGGCATCGCTGCACTTATGGGTCTCAGGGAAGGCTGTCAAAAATCAAGAACAAGCTACTAACGGAAAGGGGGCGAAGGCAGACAGCAAGATCTCGAAAACCAACAGCAACAAAAACAAAAAGACCCACGACAGAAGCAGATACGATAAGGTTTGAATTCAGCTCAATTAGGAGCAAGGGTACTAACTATGAAAGGTGCTATACGGTGCACAGTGAGACAACAGGCATGGACAGAAGTGCTCCAAAATTGTATCTACTTGTATTCTCTGTTTTTGTGACTTAATATCCAGCCCTTCATTTCAGAAGGGGATCATATGGAAACACAGGTATTCCAGGGAGATATAAAGGGTCAGTACCTCATTTGACTCCAGCAGACTCCCCTGCATTTCTGTCATCGCCTTTGTCTGATGAAAGTTGAGTGTCCACGCCAAAGGGACAAAAGGAACAAAGGGAGAAAACAAAAGGAAGAAATGAGACTCAACTGCATACAGAAACAACAGGTAATAAGGTCACATGAACTTGCCAGGTACAGCAAAAGGATGAGACCAACGGCGGAGCAAGCATCCAGAAAGACCAGAGAATGGACTATACCACAGGCGTGGAGACAAGAGAAACCTCAGATCGAGACCAAAAAAAAGAGTTTAACACAAGCTGCTGGAAACTCTAGCAGAGATGACACGTGCAGGCTGAGCTCTAGCACCTCAGTACCTCAGGCACGCTGCCTACAGAGATAAGAGGGTGCGATGTTTAAAATCACTGTTAGTGACAAAAGGTTCCTGCACAGCCTTGATTCAAGAGTTGTTCCTCCAAATTTTGAGAAGATGAACTACTATTTTCCAAAACATATTTCTGCGTCGCATTGTAACCTCCTCCAAGGAAGCGATTAGATTAGTAAGAAACTTTGAAGGCAGATGAAAGAGGCACGGCACAGCAGACACACAGAGCGGGAACTGATCTACTGGGCTATCAATCTTTCCAAGAGCCTTGCAGCCAACTTTCTGAACAAATTTTAAGATCTCTCCACAACTGAACTCCTTCCTATTTTTTGTTCAGCTGCACCAGCAGATCTTAAAACACTCAAGCCACTAAACCAGCCTGTGGAGAAGGAAAAGAGATGACCTCTTATTTTATGGGATAACCACATCTCCTGGAAAGAGTCTCATCAGACGAGGGCTGCCAATACCCAGGGATTTCATATTAAACCAGCAAGAATCTGAGACAGTATTAAGAGCTCATTTTATATGAAGGATCACTTTCTAGTAACTGCACAGCAAATGTGCAAGAGAGAAAAGACCTCAGACAGGATCAAGCGCTTTACACCTCCCTGAAGAGTGCAAGTAGGAGGAGGAGGAAAGCTCTTCCACAAGACCAAGGCAGACCAACAGTACTAGAGCCTCCCTTCTCCCACAGACCCCTAGGGTCTTCTCCAGGTAGTCCTCAAGCTATAGGAAAGAGGGTGGTCATCACAACGCTTCAAACTTCTGAGAAAATCTACTGAGGCACATTGTGATTTTGCAGCCATAAGAGTACAGGAGATTCGGGGCCGAAACCCAGATTTTACCTATAAGCCAAGTCACTTCCACACATCAACTCCCTTCTTGTAAGAATCACAGAAACCTCACACCAACCTTAATTCCATGACTCATAAGTAAGCCCAAGAGGATGAAGAGAAAAAGAACAGCAGGTGATTGGTAGGTTTTGTTCATAACTTCTAAATATTCCACCTTCTAAACCCGCTCAGAAAAGAGCCACAGTGAAGGCTTTCCTAACGCCGGCATTACAGAGCTGTTCAGCTACAATACTCACAAAAAACCCCATGCTGCTTCCCAAGGGATGACTGAACAATGCGTAAGTGAAACGGGGAGAGACAGCTGCTGAACATACAATAAAAGCAGGTTAAAAGCACCTACGTTTAAAGGCAGTTTGTTAATATCTCACTTCTCTGCTTGTACAGTGAGGAGCTGTTAACTTATGTGACAGCCTTAAAATATCTGACTCATTTCTTCGAAGAGAAGTTAGCTGAGTACACCTCTCAAATAGAACAAATTACTAATCATGTCAGTTCTTCCATGAAATTCTCATTGGTTTTGTTTGGGGTTTTTTTTTGAGTTAACTACTGATTCATTTTTCACATGGAAAATACAGCATGGATCTTGCTAGCTTCTAAATTACTCCAGAGTACCACCACCTTATGATACTACCATACACGCAGGGGTGTTAAAAACGACTGTCTTCAGCTGACTAAACGTCAAATAAATCTGCTTTGGAGAGACTGGGGCCTGGAGGGACCTGCAGGACTACAGGTTTAGTAAAGTACATAAATACTTCAGTTTAAATATATTCTTTTAATACACAGCAACATTAAGTCTTGCTCAATTTCCCTTTTCTACCCAAGCCAGAGAAAGCAGTAGTTAATGAACACTTCAAACACTGAACAGCTTAAGGTAAACAAAAAGATCTGCAATCATCAAGAAAACAGCATGATTGTGACAAAGTCAAACTCATTCAGAGTTCAACAAGATTAGAAATGGAGTTTTCATTGGAAAGCACTGAACAGTGCCTCCCCAGCTGTATTATGTCCCCAGTTCACAAGAAAACACTGACGAGGTGTGAAGAAGCAGAAACACACATCAGAAGACAAAACAGCATGTTCCATACTATTTAGTTACTTCAAAGGGAGTCAGAACTGTCTGGTATACAAAGTTGCAAGCCACTGATTAAGTGTGCCACTTCAGATATTAGCGTGTCAAAAACAAATATCGAAAACAAAGATTAATGCAGCCCTGCATTAGAAAACAGAGCTCTCAGCGCTTCCCTCCCTTCTGGAGTGAAAGAGAAGGTCTCTCCTTGCGACGCTCAGTATCTTCGAACAGAATAATTAAAATTTTGCAATGACCCAAATGAGTATGCTTGAGAAATGACAATATTTTTAAATCATTCTACAGCAACTCTGTTGAGTACCACTGAAGCATACAAATGTAGTTCACCTGTTTTCTCAAAAGCTTCAAGGACACTTGTCTATGTAATATTACAAAAGGAGAAGATACCTCTGCTACAAGCTAAAGATATCCAGTTTACGTATTAAGGTGTCTGAGGCACGTTCTTCAACCTTGCATCATGTTTAGCAAGCACCATAAATCTGACTAACAAAAACGCTAAATAACATGAGCTTTCTTTAAAAAAACAAATAAACAAATTTGATACTGATAAACTTTTCTAAAATGCTCACCAAGACACAGTTCTTCCAAAGCCACCTGTCCACATGCAGCAGGATTCCAGTCTTTAGATTATATCACAGTACGCACCACCCTACAGGTATATATATGGCTAAACCCAACCACAGTCAGAATGGCTACTAATTGTACCGCGTAACTGCAGTTTTATTACGAGAAATGTTGTTCCCACTTTGTAAACTTGGAGCTACAGGTCAGCATCTCAAAGAATGGAGCTTTCACTCCAAGAAGTGCATGTCAATCGAAAAACCTATCCAATGGGGATACTAGCAAATAGGGAAAATCACTTTACCTCCTCGCTCTTTGACTTGTGAAGAACAAATCCTTTTTTCCACTGCCCATCAGCACCCTCGTTTGGTTTACGGATGTTGAACTCAACTTTTGCACGATCCTTACTTTGAATAGCTTTCCACTCGTCCAGGGTCATCTCCTTAGGACCTTCTTCCTTAACTTCTTCAACCTCATTCTCTCTGTAGTAAATCCAAGGATGTTATAATCACGACTTAGAACTCGCATTCTAGATGCAACAAATTCAAAATCAGTTGTTAATGAGCACCAGATTACTAAAAAAAAGTTTCACCAGTACCTAGTAGCTCAGAGGTGTACATACAACACCCTTCACTTTCCTCACTCAGAAAGCACACATGAAAACTCACCTCCTTTAGCCAGTGTAAAAAAAAAAAAAGTCACAGCCAGACACCTTTAAGCAACCAAACAGTGAGCAGAGCATAGAAAAATGTTAAAATTAACACTGACCCATGCCATCCACATTAATGAGAATTTTCTTTACATATATGAAAGCCTAACTTCTGCAACAGATTTGTTTGGAGCTTTTTCCCCCACCTTTATGAACGCCTCTCTCCCAAAGGTTCAACTCAAGGCAGTGAGAGAGGGCTTGTTCTTACCACAATTTTCAGGATTGCTAGTTTTTTAAAAACCAGAATTTAATCAGCTTTGGATAGTCAGTAACACATCCTACGGTTCTGCTGAAACATTTAGGTTAGAGACGCCCACAAAACTAGCCAACCTGAAAACTAACCCATGTAAAGATGCTTTCCTGTAAAGATAACTGATGGATCACAACAGATGTGTCACGCTTGAAACTGAGAAGAACACACATTTTCTGCAGATTTGAGGAAGAAGAAAAACCATACAAATAGCTGACAGCATTTTGCAGGTAACTGATCTCCACACAGATGGGTCAGTAACTGGCCAAGCACCAGGACACTGCTACTAATAAAGATCTGGAAATACTGCAGACACAGCAAATTTAACATATCCAATTTCCAGTATATTTAATCTTTTTAAGGACTAGCTAGGTTGCATTTTCTGACCAACGCTCAAGCTGTAATTCCTTAAAAATTCTTATACTACTACTGTGCATGAGATGACCTTAACCTTGGACCACCATGACCTTGGAGAAGTCTTTTTTTAGTTAAACTAAATCCATTTCTTATTCTCTACGCAATAGTTGTAACCCTCTACTAACCAAAGTTATTAATGAGGAGATTGAGCTATAGCAAACTCCACATTAGAAGTCTCAGGCAAACAAGTACTTCAAAATTCTACCTTATCTGTTTGCCATTTTCTTTTGTATTCAACATAAAGCACATTCCTCACTGAAAGAAAATGTTTTATTGTACTATGCTATTATTAAAAAATTGTATCACATTTTTACATTTCACTACTGCTCATTCTCCTTCTCTAGTTACTCTCATTCATTCATCCAGTCCCTGGTTTCTTCTGTAACAGTGTACAAGCAGAACGAGAAGCAATCAAGTTAACTTTCAGAACTGCCTGTATACACAGAAGCTGGAGAATGAGATACAACCTTTCTTCTACAGGCTACTCTCACAGTCTCAGCAGCTGTTTTGAAAAATTAAATTTAAAAAAGTTGCCTTCCACTGGCAGAAGAACATTTTGTCCCTTTTGCTTGGTTGTTGTACCTCGTTACGAGCACAGATGCTTTTGGATTTGGGACTTAGGAGCTGCAATCCCAAGACCCTAAGCGTATTAGAACTGATTATTAATAATTAAATCTGAAAGTGACCTAAGAGTCTGCATGACACTAAAGAACAGTTCAATTTTTAGATACACAGATAACCATTTTTAGACAAACAGTTTCTAAAGAGACAGTCCTCAGAGCAGCATTGAGGATGATTTCAGATCTACTGCAGCAAACACAACCCCAGTTTGGCAAAACAGAAGTACGAATAAATATCAGAGACTAAGGGCAAAGCAATACTACCTTTGAAACAATCAGAGAACATTAAGAGAGGTGGTACTCACTTATTTTCAGAATCAGCAGGCGGATGTTCCTCTCCCTCTGGCGTTTCCTCAGTTACAGCTGACTGATCCAATTCACTGCAATTACATAATGGTTGGAGTTTTGGTTTTTTAAGAGTTCATCCCGATTTAAGGCTACATAAGGTTAACTAGAAAGTTCTACAGTGGACTTACACAGCCCACTCTTCTTTAGGACTATTTCATTAAGAATTGGTGCTCTCTGTGCCTTTTAAATTCTATGCCTTCCACCTTCCCAATGGTTTTCCCCCACACTTACTAGTACCCCTTCTGAAAGCCTCCCGCTGTACCTCGACACAAAATGCATTTGGGCATTAAAAATACTGCTTTTTATCTCATACTTGTAGAAAAAGCATGCTTAACCTGACCAAATTTGTTAATTGTTCTATTTTTAGTAAAATAATTGTTCAAAAAACAGCGCAAGACCCCCTCCCCATTTCAAACTTCCCCAAAACTCTGGTTTTAACAGTGAAGCCAGCTCTTACACTATAAGAAATCACTAATCTTCCAAGTTCTGATTTCATAGTGTAGCAAAAATTATCAAAATTAAAGGCAAAAAAAGGCAGCCAAATCTTGACTTTTTGCAAGCCATAAGAATCAGGATTTATTAACATTCAGCTAATAGTTTTCTGAGCAATTACGGATTACTAACGTTAGCTCGTCTTTGACAGTTCCCCAGTTGTGTGATCCGCTGCCACCACGCTTGTCCTCATGCTTTAGGCCGCTGAAATGTGAATGTGAAACAGAACTAACAAAACTGAGTTAACATCATAGTGTCCAGACACAGAAATTCAAAGGCAAATAGATTTTAAAACATGTATTAATTGTAAAGAATAGCCAAAAAACAATAGAAAAAGTTAAAGACTTACGATCTATCGCTGCCACTATGTCTGTCAAATTCACGTTTGCCACGAGAGTCAAAACCATCTCCTCGACCCATTCCACGGCCGCGGCCACGTCCTCTTCCAAGTCCACCACGTCCACGGATAGGTCGGTCAAGAATGGGTCTAGCATGAACAGCCAAGCTTGAATATTTCACCTCCCAAAATTCACAGCACGGCTTTTAAAGTTTTCTTTTTCTCTTTTGGGAATTTTATTTATTTACTTTTCCTTTAATAATTACTGTTTGTAACTGCACTGAGGCTCTAATTTCAATACCTAATTGTTACACTGAAAAAACCCAAATGTATAAAGCCTGCATTTTAGATCTGGAAACAAATGCTCAGAAGGATTACTGTTCATTTGCATCTTCTGGCATTAAATTCCAAAATTTAGTGCTTGTATTGTGTTACATCACTAGCTGACAACAGAATTCCAATTTGACTCACACTCATCCAACCTAGTTTTAAAAAGATAACTTTGGCTACTAAAATTTTAATATTTGCACATTACTTTAATGTAACAACACTTGAATTCTGTATCCCACACAATACTCGAGACACTTTCAAACTTGCCTAGACATACCACAGCTTCAGCACTTCCACATCTGAAGTCACTGCAGCCACGCTGTCAACACCTACATGGACAAACTTTACTGGCTTAAGTCAGCTGTACGGATTCAAGCAACAGCTGTAAGGGCAAACAAATCTCATCCTGCAGGCAACAGCTACACCTGAGTTCCTTTCCTGATCTGTCTCCTATAGGTTTAGAGAGACAGAGTGGATATCTTAATGATTTAAACCCTATTTTCAGTTCAACCAATAGAACTGTTCATGTTAGATCACTTCCAGTCTAAAACTCCAGTCAAGTTTGTAAACAAAATCATGAAAAAAGGAAAGTGTTAGAGCCTGCGTGACACACACTCTTCTTTTAATCAATTTAATTTGGATTCCATCAGCTAGTTGATTTGTTTGGGTTTTTTTGTTCTGTTGTTTGTTTTTTAATTTAGTAGCAGAAGACAGGACAGCCTCTGGGAAAGTTGTCAGGCAAGACAAAACTCTTACTTGTCAACAGAAAATTCTCCTCCTTCGCCTTTCTCATCAGCAGGTTTGTCAAAGCGGCGCTCACGAGGAGGTCGTCTCTCCGGTCTCCTGTCAATGGGCTTGCCTTCACCCTGCTGTTGCTGCTGCTGCTGCTGATCAGGCCTCCTGCCAATACGTCTTATCCCTGAAAGATTAGGTGAAACACATCAACGGAACGTGGAGCTGCTCCGGGACAGATACTGACTCTAACACCATACAACAATATCGAAGGTAAGCTGGAATTGAGGTTTTTCTTCTAGCCTTGTGACTAGATAATCTGAGAAACCATATCTGTATAAAACACTCACTGCAAATCACCTGACTCTTCTTATTCACTTTTTTACGCAGCACTTCAATCAAATTGTATTTTGTACAAGCATAAGCTCTTACAATACTGTAGGAAACACCACCTGTCAGAGCACACAGTGTGCTAGCAATCCGCGTTAAAACAACAGGGTCAGCTTTCAATGAAGGACCAAGATATGCTATATTTCCCCCCCCTCCCCATGAAAGGTACTTTGCAAGTAAAACAAGTGGGTTTTATTTTGATGCACACCAAAATGACGTCAGCATCACCACGCTGGACCCACGTGCCTATGACAGCCACCCTGCTTCATCCTGGTGTCCTCTTCTTGCAAACTTTTTTGGCCAGCAGTAGGACGCCAGGCAGGGCCACCCTCTCCCAGCAGGGACTGGTCAGTGAGTAAATGAGGTGTTCACCCACACCAGCCCTCGCAGTCCGACACACGGTCCCTGACAGAGACTCAACTCGTTGTGCACTCACTTAAAATAGCTTAAGAAGACACTGCACCACTGAACTGACTAGGCACCTTCCCTCCCTCTCTGGGCCTTCTCAAAGTTCTTTTAAATAATAACTCCCCACGGGCATCATCTTCTTCACTAAGACATCCGAAGGATCTTAAACACAGGGGTTTTTTTCCACATATCTGAAAGGCCCACTTACTTATACCATTTTCTTGCCAGAATGTTTAGGGAAAAAACACCAAGCCAACCACCACGGCTGGCTTGAGAATTGTGAACTCTTTTACATTAAAGGCTGCCAATTTTTACATTTTAAATTTTTTTAAAGAAATAAGTTCCTGCCTAACAAGCAATGTCATATTTGGGTGGGGCTAAAGAAGTTCCAGTTGTAATGATATCCAAGCCAACACACCCAAATGAACAATGTCTTCCTTAGCTTCCAAGCTGTACTTAACATGAAGTTTGCATGACATACATTGCTTGCTAAGCAATGCTTGTTCCCCGAGGAAACACAGGGGTTAAACTCACTAAGATTTGCTTTGAAAAGGACTCTCCAACTAGGGACAAAGATTTCATGTGAAGAGGTGAAGCTCAGCGAGGAAAGCGAACAGGCCAGCAGCACGCAGGAGCTATGCTGCAGAACTGGAATGAATAATCCACAGCTTTTGAATTTCGAGTTCAACACCCTGTGCTCAGAAAAACCTGGCTGCTGGTGAAGCCTAACCAAAAAGACAAGTTATTTCTTAGTATCACAAAGCTTTGAACTGGTAATTCACCAGTCAAATGGTCCGCACTCTTACAGAGCACTGGAACAGTTTTAAACTGCAATACGTCCACACAGCAAACAACCCCTGTCGAGACCATGGCATCAAACACCTTCAGAATGTTAGAACTGCTGCCCCACACAAAAAATAGACATTTCAAGCTGCCAAGTGACTTTGTTTACTGCAGTGCCTCATACACACGTCTACAAAAGCAGACCTCACTTTCTCTGTTTCGTTACTACAATCAGACACAAAATACTTTTTTCATAGTGAAGCTTGTTCTTGAAAATGAATGTGAAAACCGGGTGGTAAACATGGACTGCTAGCCCTCCCAAAACCCATCTGCATTCTCTTGGGTTGGCCGAAGACACTCCCCAAGTTTCAGGTTTGCCTCACGAGGGACAAGCCCATAATTCTGTATCTGACCAGTACTTCCAGAGGACACCAGCTTAGAAAATTGCCACTCGGGACAAATATTGCATTCCTCCCAGGGAAAACACTCTCAAGGGTTACAAAAGATCCGTAAGCAAAGAATACTATAACACAGTACCTAACTTCTGCTTTTCACAAGGTGAAACATTTTGGAGGCCCACTTTCTATAAAAACTACTACATCAAAACTTTCTCTGTCTTAAAAAAGCATAAAACGTGGTGAAGGAACATTTCGCAACACGCACTGCAGTGAATGCTGAAGCGTGAAGATGCTTTCACGTAGCACTGTGCTCTTCTGAACGGGCCGGTTTCTGAAAAGATCGTTTGGAGTTAAAACTGCAGGTGGCAAGTTATTTCCTCACCCACACGTCAACTGCTGTCACCACACTTTGATGCATTTCACGGATTCCAATGTAATCAGGGTTCTGACCCACTCGATGCGAGCTGATGTTTATGCGTGGTACCACTGCCTCCCATGGGACATGTGCGCACAGGATCTGTCCCTCCTCAAGCGGAGCTGTGTCCTACTAATTGCTTCGCCGACAGCACATTCATTTTACCTATTTATACTTGGATTGCCTTTTTTTTTTTTTTCTCAACAAAACAAAGTTTCCTGTGCAGGCTGTCTTGCGGGACAAACACGGCTGAGAATTCATACAACCTATTATTAAAATACAGACGTGACTCCTGTCAACACCGCTCCCTAGAAAAATGACCCAAGTGAATTCTGAAAAGCCCAGGTACTGCCAGAGACCCTGTCAGAGGCGTCACACCACCCCAAACGCGATTTCAGCTCAGGACACCTCGCTTCGATGCTCTTTCAGGTTCTCCTCCTCCCTGTC